TTTCCGGTTAGGGGCTGTTACCTATGCCAAAAACCTTAAAAAAAAAAAAAAAAAAAAAAGAATGGCCCAACTGGAACTGTCCCACTGTGCCCCCCTCCGGCACACCACAGCAGCCTGTCTGAAGTCCCTCATTGTACCACTGGGCCCTGTCTCCGTGGCGAGGTCAGCTCCTTGAGGACGTAGGTACTGTCCTTCTGTTCACCCAGGCCTGGCACCGAAGCTGGAGCTCGATAAGTACCTGTTTGGTGAATAAAAGAGGAAAATGGACACCCAGACGTTAACAGTTGAGCACAATGGTTGCCGTCATGGAAGTAAATCAGGACTGAGAGGCCTGCGTCTACCCAGTGGGGGGACAGGGTTAGAGGCACTAGCCCTGGGGAACGAGGTGGAGCTGGGCGGACGGCCGTGGAGAACTGATAGCAGCGGGCGTGCGGAGCCCGGGTGACCTTGCTCAGGTGTGACTGGACAGGCCCACAGGGATCATGCCATGAAGGGCCTTCTGCACCTGTAGAGGTAAAACACGATTTTCCAAGAACGTTGAACCTTTTCGAACGAGAGTGCTAGAAGGGATAGTCTGGAGGTCCTGTCTGCTCCTGCTGCCTCCACCTCTTCAGCACACTGATCACCCCATTAAACCAGAGAGCCTGGGCTGCTGCGTGCTTCTCCCCCATAGTTTGGCCCAGGGAGCCACAGCCTCGCCCCGCTGGCCCACCCTTCTCTCCTGAAAGGCTCCAGGAGGTCTCTCCAGTCCTGCTTCTCTGTGGGGTGCTGCTCCGCCTCGTCTGCAGGCTCCTCTCTAACCCTGCCATGGTCCGCCACGCCGATCTCATGGTCTTCCTGGTCGTTCTGCGCATCCTCCTGGAGGTCCTGCCTGCATCCCTGCCTGCCACCCTCTGACCCCTCGGCCTCCTTACTGCACATCTCTATCTCAAGCCAACCTAGCACACGCCTGCGTTTCTGGTCTGGTGCGACATCACCATCTACCCAGGTGCCTAGCCCAGATGCCGAGTCCTTTTAGATCTCCCCTCCCCGCCATCTCAGCTCTACCGCAGGCCTTCCCAAGTAGGAGGCCCTTCCCTCTGTTGTCAGAGCACTTCCGGGTCACTGCGCTCCCCTGGGTGGTGGCTCCTCTGCCTCTGACGCTGACTGCACCCCTGCCTCCGTCCCTCAGCAGATCTGAGCATGTCGCCTGACTCCTCCCACTGGTGGGCGTGGAATGACTGCAAGCTGGATTTGTCATTACATCCTTGGCCAGCTGTGACCCCACTGTCCCCAGTCTAGCTCTCCAGCTCCAGTACAACTGCCGCACACCTGTGTTCAGTTAATGTCATCCAGGAGCGGGAGAGAGAGGAGACGACGCCCTGACAGGGCCTGGAGCCATAACCCACCAAGACTCATTAGGCAGCCCTGGATCACGGGTACACATGCTGGGGTAACTCAGGGTGGTCTCCGGACTTGAACCAGCAGTGTGCCTGGGTAGAACTGCCTTGCAGAGTGTCACGTTTTACTGCCGCACTCCTGCCTGACCCCTGCTTCCACACTTCTGTCCGGTAACGACTGCTCCCTTTCCTCCGCTCCCAACCTGAAGAGCCATTCCACACCTGGGCAGGGCCTCATACTACACGCCTCTTGCACTCAGTAACTGTGTGTGCGTGTGTGTGTGTGTGCGTGTGTGTACACGTGCACGCATGACCAGTGCGGGGACCACGTCTTCCAAAGGGGTAAGACAGTCCTGTGGACAGGGAGTGCCGTCGGCTGGTACTGACTGGACTTCCCGTTTCATCTTTCTCTCCTATACATGGTACTTACTAGTAACACTCGCTTTTCCTTTTAAAATTGTTTCTCTGAGTTTTACTTTTAACTGCATGAGGAATTTACATTTTTTTGGTAACATTGTGTTAGCAGTTTGCTAATTAGGACTTCTCATTTTCACCTAGTGATTCTGTTTTTCAGAGGTGAGGAATTCGTACAATGCGCATGGTGGAAATAACAGCTATTTTTGGAAATATCAACAAGAATGTGCTAAATGCCATCAAGTACTCTTACATTCCTCATCATCGGAAAGACTTATAAATCGGAAAGAATCACAGCTTTAATTTAGATAGTCTAAGTTTACTCGTAGATTCTCAAATGCAACTAACCTTTGAAGAGAAAGTGTTTTGGTTTGTCTTGCGCTTTTAGGAGCTGGTGTCCCACGCACCTAGAGCTGAAGTACTCTCGTCTCTGCCACAGGGGCTGACCTGCAGAGAGGAACTCCTGACCCTTCTTCTGTCGCTCCTCCCGCTGGTGTGGAAGATACCCGTGCAGGAAGAACAGGCGGCAGGTGTGTTTCTTCCTTCATTGTCTCTCGTGTTACCGAAAAGTCCCATCCCGGGGTCAGCACAGCCTCAGGTTAGAGCTGTCCCTGTTCCTCTGACTACCTAACAGGGAAAGTGCTGACGCAAACACAATTTTATTTCTTCCAATAATACAAGAGCCCATTGTGCTTCTTGGGCTTTCGCGAATGTAACGATTAGAAAATGTCTGAGGAGGCAGAACACCTACCAAAGGGAGGAAGCCTGAGTGCCAGCATGACGTCAGAGAACGTCAGAGAGCATGAGCCCTTCGCTTGCTCAGAGATGACGTCTCGCCAGCGCCGTGTGCCTGGCCGTGGCAGGGTGGCTTCTGCTTGTCTCTCCAGTGCTGCTTGTAAAGGGTGGATGTGAAGTAATGCTTCGTTTTAAGACTGGATAGAACTACTACACCTAAGATTAATAGATGCTTTTAATTTCCGATTTTGAAAAAATTATACATATACTTAAAGTATACGAAACTTCCATTGTGTCAGTGGAGAGATGGACACTGTTCTCCCTTGACTGTTTCTGGGGTATGACATTGTGAGACGTGAAACTCTCTAAGGTTAGGAAAAAACGGTATTGCATTTTAATGCCATACATGTGGGGTTTTTATTATTAGACTTCTGCCAGGGAGCTCCTTTTAGGGCGTTGCCTAAGGTGTTGTTCGGCTGCTTCAGTGCTGACTCACTAGCCCTGCTTGTCTGTATTTGCAGAGTTTTCAAATGGTTGACCAGTTAGGAACTGTGTGTGCACTGTGAGCGTTGTCTTCCTTGCCTGCGTCTTTGGCAGGGGGAGCTGCCAGACTTTTCATTTCTCTTCTCCTCACTGTCTGTTTTCCCTCTCCTAATTAAAGCACACGTCTTTTAGTCACAGATCTCTTGTTCACTGTAAATTGTAACTGTATTTTATTTTTAGTTTTCGGTAGTTTTTTCTGTACTCCCCAGGGGTGGGGGAGTGACAAGTCACCCCAGTGGGGATGGCCACACAGCAATCCCTCTTGAGATCTTGGGCACGCACGTCACATGCACCCAGCATGATTTCCAAGCCGCTGGGTCCAGGACTCGAATCTCGTAGTCAGCCATGTGAGAGCTAGCGCTTTACCCTGCATGCCATCTGCGGGCCCTGTAACTCTATCTTTTTGTATGGCTCTTATTCCATATTACTGCAAAGGGAAAGACCAATTTAATTATCTTTTTAGTGTGTAAAAAGGAGTCCCTCATTTCCCTGCAGAAATAGTTGAACATTGAGCCGGCAGATGACATGGTGGTTAAAGATGCTGGACTCCCACATGGTCGACTGTGGTTTGAGTCCCAGACCTGGCGGCTTGCTTTCTCACTTTCTCTCTCTCTCTTACTCTCTTTTTTTCTCTCTCTCACTCTCTGTCCCTCTCTGATCAAATTAAAAATAAATAAATAAATAAATAAGGTTAAATAAAATAATTTTTTTAAAGAGAAGAAATAATTGCATGTTAACCACATGCCAGATGCTAGGCTCCAGGCACCGAGGGGGGAAACAGTGATGCGTGTCCCTGCCTCCAAGTTCAGTCCACAAGACACTGAGGACGGTGCACTCTATCTTATTGAGAGGAAGCAGGAGGAGGGGAGGAAGGTAATAGGGCCAGCCTCATCACATGGCCACCTTCCCGGCCTCGCAGGCAGCTGGGATCATGGGCATGTGTCGCTGTGTCCTGCCTGTTCAGGGCCGCCCCCAGCTGCCATCCTAGCAGCGCCCCCCTGTTTTCACCATTGCCACTGGGCCTTGCAAAATACTTTGATGAAGAACTCTTTTAACTCGGGGAAGTCTGGTATATAGAATATAATTTTGAAGTAATTTTGGAAGTGCTCTTAAAGTTCTTCTATCAGGGCTGTAAGCTGAATACTGTCTCTGAGAATATGATATATCACTGCATCTTGCTTAGTGGCACTACGGGAAGAAGTTTATCAACTGGATGAACAGCAGTGCTAGACGCTGGGTGATCTAGTCTCTTATGTGGAAGTCAGAATGCAATGTATGGTTGTAAATCAGATTCATGTTCCTAATCCTGTTCTCCTTTGTCGTTTTTAAAATATATTTGCATTCTGTGGACTAATGCCTCCTGGTGTTCAGAGTGAGAGGGACGAGTGCGGGAGCGGGGGCCCGGTGGCCTGGCGTGACCAAAGGCATTCGGCCCCTGGCACAGCCATGCCAAGTGGAGCTTGGGCTACGGCAGTGCTGAGTAAGAAGGGCCCGCCTGCTGATGCTGAGTCTCCAGCATAGCAGTGTAGTCTGAGTCGTCTTCTTCATCTCCTCAGGTTTTGATCTGCCGTTCTCAGCTGATGTGATCCTGACCAAAGAAAAGAACTCAAGTTCACAAAGAGCCACTCAGGAAAAATTCCGTTTAGAAGGAAGTGCCCCACCTGGTCAGGTTTCTGCACAAGTAAACATTCTTCGGAAAAGCAGACGACAGCGGAAAACTACCCACCGCTATTCGGTAAGAGATGCAAGAAAGACACAGCTGTCCACCTCTGACTCGGAAGCCAACTCGGATGAGAAAAGTCTGGCAGTAAGTAAGCATAGGAGGCCCCGTCCGCCGCAGCGTTTCGGGGCGCGGTCTCCGCAGGAAGACCACCTCCCAGTCGAACGTGACCGCTTAGCCACCAAAGAGGAACAGACTCCTCCTGAGACCATGGCTCTGGAAACCCGCGGAGGGCCTGCCCCAGGGCAGCAGCCGAGCACTGACACGCTGAGTGAGCCGGCCGCCTCGTCTGTTCTCAGTAACATGAGCAATTCTCCGTTTGACTTGTGTCATGTTTTGTTATCCTTACTAGAAAAGGTTTGTCAGTTCGACCTCACCTTGAGCCATAACTCTGCTCTCGTAGCCAGCGTGGTGCCCACCCTCACTGAGTTCCTCGCAGGCTTCGGGGACTGCTGTGCGCTCGGCGACAATGCGGAGGGTCAGGTGGTCTCTGCAGGCTGGACGGAGGAGCCGGTGGCCTTGATTCAGAGGATGCTCTTCC